TCGCTCTATAACAACGCTATAATTCTCAAAGAACGTCTGATGTGCTCGTGCTCGACAATACTCAGTTCAATTACACATTGCCCCGTCACGTTGTGACCGTCCTACATATATACCAGATTACCCCCAATCTAGCAGTCTCCCGATAATTTACGAAGCTTCGAGAAGGACGTGGCGTGATACTAGTCACGTGAACTCGCTGACGCAACAATATTTTATGTGAATAAAGAATATTATTTATTTGAAATAATTATGTTTTCATGTTTAATATAGTTAATACAGAACATGGCTATAATTTTCTTCCTAGTTTAAAACAGAATTATTTTCTCTAAAACATTCTTGCCCATTAATTCCATTCACACTCCTTATAAATACTGGTATAATTTTATGCGGTTATAATCACAAACCTTGAGTATTATCCTGCAATAAATTGATTAGGTAATTACTGTGTTAAAATACATACTTGAATAATTATTAACTCGTATAATATTGACATACAGTAAAGTGAAATCTTCCTATCCCTTTCTTTGGTTGAGAGTTGATGAGAAACGTGGAATTAACCATAGTTTCTTGGAGAGCTTCCACCTATTAAAAGTAAAGTAAAACCAATACAATACTTCAATCCATGATATAGTAGGGTTAACTTTCTCCATTTCATAAATGTTCTTCTTTGTTATTAATCTGACACAATTTTAGAGTGATAAATAAAATTCATTAACTTTTCTTTAAAACTATACCTGGATAGATGCAACATTTTTTCTTTAAGACAATATCAGATGTTTAAAATGTACAGTTAAATGTTTTGGAATTACAAAGTTTATATATGTAATATAGCAAGACAAAATTATACAAGAGAAGTCATCTAAAAAGTCAAATAGAACACTTACAAAATTAGAATAGAATCGGAAGCTCAGATACTAAAAAACAATGCATAATTCACACTCTTCTGAATAGAATACATAAAAAACATTTTTTAATGAAATTAATTGATTCTTTGGAATTTTGCACAAAGCTACTTGAGGGCTATCAAGCTAACTGGCCCTAATTTTGGGGTGATAGGTAGGAAAGAATGCAGTTTGTCAATACTAGCAACCACCAACTTTTGGGCTACTCTTTACCAATGAACAGTAGGATTCACCATCACGTTATAACATACTGTTGCGTCAGCGAGGTCACGTGACTAGTATCACGCCACCTGTTTTCTTAAAATATCCTGTTCCTTCAAGAATGTGTTAGTCTTGTATGTATATAAGATGATCACAACGTGACGGGATATTCTGTAGGTAATGAGTAATTGAATGTATGCGGACAAAATATTGTTGGCCACGTGAGACGTAAGCGTTTGTTATAGAGCGATTGTTGAAATTAAGTGTATCGTAAGTTGTATTCGGAAAGAATAAACCAGTTTTATTTAACAAAGGACTTGTGTCGCTAAAGTTTCGTCGGAACGAATTTACTGAAATTGGGTACTTCTATTTTGGTATAAAGCCACTCACCCTGCCTCTCCAAAACTGCAAAGTGTTACCTATATAATTTCAACATTGCATGTCTTGCAACTAACCAATTATATATACAACATGCTTAGTACCGCAGTGCAATTCCCGAAGAGAAGACCGTTGCTCATTCCAATAAATGTTCTGTATATAATGTAGCTATGACGATACAAGTTAGGCAATATTTATAAGACTATTTGTTTAAACCACTGAATCATTATCCCGTGGATGAGAACGTTTAATTTTTGCTAAGTCGCAGTTTTTCGAAAACGTTGTTGTTGTTGTTGCTTTAGCTCAAAGCTACATAATTGGCGTATCAAAGCTCTATCCACCGCGGGGAATCGAACCCCAAATTCTAAAACATAGATTAGTTTTTGATATTGTTACGTCTCTGTTCGTTAGTTAATTTTCCGTAACTTCGTTCCGACGAAACTTTAGCGACACAAGTCCTTTCTTAATAAAACCGGTTTATTCTTTCCGATTACAACTTTACGATACACTTAATTTCAACAGTCGCGCTATAACAAACGCTATATCTCACGTGGCCAACAATATTTTCTCTGACTGCAGTTCAATTACTCAATACTACACTGTTGTCTCGTCACGTTGTGACCATCTTATGTATACCAGGCTACCCCAATCTAGTAAATGCTAGGGCATTCACGAAGGAACAGGATATTTCTAGAAAACGTGGCGTGACCCTAGTCACGTGACCTCGCTGACGCGACACTGCCCCTCCTTAGTATTGTTCGTCCCGAACAATAACCACATACAATAAACCAATAACAATAACTTAATTAAAATGTACAGAATTACAAACACAAAATTACAATTCAACAAAGTCTCTTAATTTTACGGGACGTATTTTCTTCGGTACTGGTCTCCATCTCGTTGGCTTCTGCTTCACGTGGGGTTCATCTGCACCATCAGGAAATGTCCTATCGTCAGTAACAGTCACATCAGTAGTAGTAACTTCACCAAGAGCTTCACCGTTTCCTCAAAACTGAGTAGAGTTTCTTGTTCGACGGTGGCTTCTTCAGGTGGCACGTCTTCAGCAGCGTCATTTGTTCTGTTGTCCACTTCATCCCAACTGAAATGTCCTGGACCGTGATAATGCCAAAGCTTGTTGGCATGCACCACTTTTGGCTTACCTCACCGACCACATTTTATCCGGAAAGTCACGTCT